TTTTTTTTTTGTGATACAGTAATTAAACTATGTAAAATTTATTAATTTTAAATTTTTGATAGACAAATTATCAATACACACTCTATAAACACAAAGCTCTGAATAACAGCAAATAATGCAATGCACCTCAGCAGTGTTTAGAAACTGCTTTTAAATTCAAAAATTAATACCCTTAGATGTAGTGAAACTGTTCAGATAACAGTTGTGCAATAAGGCAAAAAAAAAAAAAGAAATTTTAATTTTTTTCAATTTAATAGCACACTAGAAAAAAAAAAATAATAAGAAAAAGTATTGCTAAAAAGGCAATATTTGTCATGCGCTTCAAAGTATTTGTTTGTTAGACTAACAAAACTCTGTTGTTAGACTAATTTTTAACATATTAAAAAACTGTTTAGTTTTGTTTCTTTTTTTTTGCAATTTTTTAAATAATTTTTTTTATGCTGTCTGCTGAATGGTTTTTCTAGCTGACTGAAATATCTTAAACTGTCAAAACACTATATGAACAAGTAAAGAATTGTTTTTTCCTCTATTAAAATAGACTTAAAAGAGTTGTTCTCATATAAAGTAGTCAAAAAAAAAAAAAAAAAGAGTGAAAGAATTTGGTAGCGCAAAAATACACAGTTGAATTCTGAAGGTTTTTTTCACCACCTCTTAACGCTTTTTTCTTTTGCTGCTTAACAACTCAACAAAATTTTTTTTTTTCATTTCTGAAGTCAAAAAGTACTGTTGAAGTATCATTAAGCAAACGTTTATATTTTGGCTGTTATTCTTTGTTCAATACAGAAAGAAAAAAACCGTCAGTAATCAAAAAATCTCAAGAGAAAAAAAAAAGTAAAAGGTAAAAAAAAACAGGGCATATTTTATTTGAGCTGTTTATTTCTTTGTAATCACCATATTGCTATAATTTCATAAAATTCTATAAAGAAAAAAAATATAGTCTAAAAAAAATAAATTTTTTTTGTTTTCTTGTTAAGAAAGCCTTGAAAAGATGATAAGGATTCCATAGCAACAATAATGATTACTGTTTTTTGACGTAGAATTTTAGTCATCTGTATCTCTGATGTCAAACAGTAACAAGGTTTCTGTTATAAAAAAAAAAAAGATGAACCCTATTATGTAAGCAATTGAATTGAGAAATATATAAGAAAAAATTTCATTATGTTGATCACTTATCAACAACTTACCAATTCTGATACAGTTTTCAGTAACACATAGTCCATCTGGAGCTACCACTTCTTTATACAGTGTTGCAGATTCATTTAATTTTACTGGACATTCTTTTCTGCCTATAAATAAGTGATCGTCGGTCATATTTGTTCAAAGCTGTTTACTGACATCAATGGTAGAAATGGTGTATCAAAAATTTATTGTCAAATATAGCAATTTCTTATAATCCAATTTACTGTTATAGCAACAAATAGCAATGACAAAAAGATGTCGACAAATTTTTGTTTGACACATGTAAATACGATAACAGTAAAGGAAAAAAAAAAAAAGAAGCAAAAACAGTAAAATTTATTGAATACCTGAGAATACAGAAAATCCACTAGTGTAAATAGCAAATGCACAAAAACAGGAAATTGAGATGACCAAAAGTATGGTGAATAAAGCAGCAAACAAAATTGTAAGTCGTGAAATCCTAAAAACAGAAAAAAAAAAAAATGAAGAAGTGCAACGATAAAATTTGTACAATTATTTTAGCAATAAATTTAATTTACTTCAAAAGAAAAAAAGGAAATTTTTTTTTTTTTTTTTTGAAAAAGCGAAGAATCTGTAAGTAAATGTTTTTTTTTTCTGCAATTTATTTTAAAACCAAAAAGAAAAAAAACATAGTTTAAAAACAGCTAAAAAAAGTTTAGTTTCCTTTTTTTTTCCAAAATCTTATTTGTGTTTTTGATAAAAGAAAAAAAGAAAATCGACAAATGGAAAATTTTTCATATTAATAATATTGATAATAACCCAACCAAAAAAAAAACCCCCCCCCCCTATATATGTTATATATTAAAAAGATTTATTTCTTTACATAATACACTGCGTGAACTGTCCAGTAGCCAGGTTGTAATAGTATGAATGAACGTTGGCCATTTAAATATGAGACTTTAGCCGAGCATAAGCATTAACAAAAATCGTTTTTACCATCACAACAGATCATCGTTTTTATAGTCCATAAATACCGACCAAAAACATAGGCAAAAAAAGACAGCGCGAAGAAGAAGAAGAAGAAGGTGAAGGAGAAGGAGAAGTAGAAGGAGATGAATATGATGAAAAAAGAACTCTGCTTTCTTGACACTGTGCATTTTAAAACAGTTTAAAGTGTGCTCAACTGATGTTAACATACAACTGTAAGAATGTATATAAATGTATCTGTACAGGTACATATTTATTTTAGTAAAAAAAAAAGAAAAGCAGATAAACAAAAAAGCAGGTAACAACGTTTTAACATTTTCTTTACTTCTTCCTTTGTGCTTCTTCTTTTAAACTACATTAAAAAAAAACACCTATTTTACCTTTCTGGAGCTTCAGAATCATCTGAAAATGTTTTTTTTGATCCATATGTACTGTATGGTTGTCCAAGTTCACGCGAATCATCAGATGATGCTGTTATCGGTATTACCGGATGTAATGGCCTTCTGTAAACAAAAAAAAAAAAATTGTAGGCTGCATTGAATTGAGTAATTAAACAAAAAAAAAA